TACAGTTTACATTTTAAACAGAAGAGTTTATTAGCCTTGGGTTAAGGTTCTAACTACTATTGGAGGTAGCGGATTTGCGGTCCGCTACACTCGTACTGGTTCATGTTAATAACGTAAGGTCGGCGACCTGAATTGCTTCCTCTAAGCGCAAAGCTACGACAGCCCCGCTGCACTTGGCGATCGTCCGCTAAACTATAGCTGGTTCTTTAATAGTTAGGACAAGTAAAAAGGCGCGATTGCCTCAGCCACTGTGCGAACTTAACACTCATCGTCACTCTCGCCAGCTTCAAGAGCTTATGCTTCATTTCCCCATGAGAAAATCCCGGCTTCTATAACCGCTGTTCTCTGAGCGCAGACATTATTTAAAATGGGTGATGACCTGTGGTTATAGAAAGCACTCGCGAAGCTTTTGTGCTCAATTCGCGCTTGGTGTGTAATGAGCCCGCACGCATAAACGTGTCAGCGAGACGAGCGACTTTTGACGAATCAAATTCCATGACGGCGTGATAATCGGGGTAATAGTCGGTATGGCTCTTTAGCATTCATTTGAGCAAGTGGATTTTACTGATCCAGGTCTAGTCAGCTGGTGACGAGCTGGACATCGTCGTACGTTTACTAGGTGGTGTCGCAACACTTATCGACAATAAAATTGGGCACAGAGTACGCAATTCGTAGAAGGGAGACCTAGCGTAGTCCTACTCGGCAAACGGCTAGGCTTGTCATCGGGCGTTGTTGGGCATGGACTCTAAGACGATGTGACACTTCATATCGGAGAATTTTGCGTCATTTTCACCGAAGATTGTTTTTCGTCGGTCAAGAATTCCACGCGCTTTGAAAATGGATCGTTGAGCCATCTGATTTAGTATATGGGAGAAAACGCTCGATTTAAGTATTGAGTGGCGTCTTGATAAGCGGTCATGTCTTGAAAAGACATACGAAGTGTGAGCTCCAGTGTGGGGGGGGTATACACCGCAATCCTTTATGCTTACACACTTTTCACTATGGGAAATGTACATTATTGCGCGGTTGCGCCTTAGTTTTTCAGACCGCAGACACTGCATATGTAGCTAGAGTAGCTGCATTCCAACTTTTTGCCCCACGACATATAAATGTGTTTCACCTGTCTCTGGTATAGAAATTGCATATCCGGAATCTCAGACAAATCGTTCCGCACCCTGCGCACGACGGCAAATTTTATTGCAATAAAATCGATACAAGTATAGCCTCCCGGATTCCGCCATGTCGAGTTTGATCGCCAGCTTTTCCCACGAAGACCGGAGCAACGTCGTGGTGGTGTCAACAGCGTCTGAAGGGTATACCAGGTTATTTATATAGAATTGGGTTTAAGCCTGTAAGGGCATGTCGAGAATAGCTATTTCTATTTTCACCGATGCCAGTGTCGCTGACAGCAGCGAGAACAGCTTTCCTGTTGATACAACTCGCATAGACGACTAAACGGATTTTACTAAATGCAGCGCCTTAAGAGACCAATCCAACGGCCGAATTGGTACACAGCCGACATTCTTCCAAGACTGATCAAAGGAACCAGCGTAAGCTGCGGGTGCAGCGAGGCTGCCGTAGCTCTTTGCTTAGAGGAAGCTAAGCTAAGGTCACCGACCTTACGTTCCTTCCAAGTACCAGTACAAGTGTAGCGGACCGCAATCCGCTACCCAAGTACTAAAACCCTAACCAAGGCAAACCAACACTTCTGTTCAAAATCGAAACTGTATTTAATTGTTGTAGTTGCGACAGAGCCGCCAATATTTGAAGCCCTACGCCTATTTACCCAGCCCGGGAATTGAACCCTACTTTTCTTAATTGATATAGTAATGCCGAATATTATTATCAAATATAGTAAAACCAAATCAAATAGTAATATGATCCTGCTACGTGGTGGCTTCTTGTTATGGTGTAGCAACACCACGGTGTGATTACACTAACCAATACACACCTATGTACGGTCGTCACGACCCGCCCTAGGGTACGTCTAACCCCATTACAGCGGGAGCTTAGAGCGATTACCACATTCACGCAGTAACCCGTATACATGCTAGGCCACACGTCAACAGCAAGCATTGAGCAATGCGTCATATTTTTCTCGAGCTGCTTTCCTGCGCGTGTTGATCATCAGTATGCGATAACATCACACATTACTAAAGCAAATTTTATAGAAAACAGAGCAAACTTGCGAGCAGAGGCTTCGGTAAAGCAGCAGCACAACGTATGTCACGTCACACCCGAACGCTGTACATCAGCAGACGTCTTCTGCACACCATCGTGTATGTAATCGAACGAATACCCACCATCACCTAAGTCGTCACGGATATACCTGATCTCAAAATTATATTCTGCAAAGGAGAAAACCATTCTTCGATATTCTTTACAAGATGTAATGACAACACCACTGAGCAAGGACGCATGATTCGTTATATTCACAATTTTTTAGATTGACAAGCGCATACTTTCATGGCTACTAGCGCTTGTCATTAACAAAGAACTCCTTAATTACCGTTCCAAGCTGGTGTTTCTCGAACGCGATCACCATGGGTATCTACCAGGAGTAGAGTTGAACTTATGAAATGGTGAAGCGTCACAGACGACATGAATTGATGGATATGTATTCAAAAGAACCAAGTCAGAGCACGTTTGAGACTTTTCACACTGCTTTTGAGCCGCCTTGATCACCATCCGACATTCTTGTTACAGTAAATTGATGCAGAGCCGTCACGTATCTGTAAACGTTTGCACAGCACTTGTGCGTGAAGTTTGACAAAAACAAGCAATTCCTTTTGTCCCTTTGAAACATAGACACTAGCTGCTTTTAACCGCCTAATCTTTGCGGGATCTGCCCGCGAGTCATGTTTTTTTGTCTTGTTAGCGCCAAAATACACTCGCTTACATCGGCAAACAGCTTATATTAGCCCAAGACTACTCGCAAGTCATTCAAGTGATTTTTCTCATCCAAATTCCAGCATGACTTTCGTCGAAACAGGTCTGTGCGTAGCCGCAATATGGACCAGAGGCTGCGTCATCACATAAATGACAGTCACATGTAATTACGACAGCCCCCGTGGCGTTACTAGCCGCCCTGCTCGGAATACTCACTGTATTGAGAGAGTTATCACTATGTCTCATGAAGAGTTGATAGTAACGATCCGCAGGTTCAAGGGCACTGACCGAATTGCGACCGATAATTGTGTTCGGCAGTACATACTTTTCAGGGATTGACGTTCGCGCCTGAGTCATGCACGCATTCTTCTTAAGAACGAATATGCAATACGCCACTTGAAGTTAGCCATCCCAAACATATCGTCAACGAGATCCGGACTGTCTTCCTAAACCTGCTTCGCACGAAAGTAAGCGTCGAAGAAATCACACTGTGATTTAGGTTCAGGGCATGACCGTATGCTGCAATACTTGGTTCTGGGAATCAAGTCAATTCCATTATACACACCAGTCTATGGAATACGCGAAGTGTGTCTCTCCTGTCGTCACGTCGTCATATTTTTCAACAAAGTGTACGAAATCGGTAAAATCATAAAAGATTTCTTCTCCGTTCACTGCACTTAGTACTCGATACGGGTCGTCAAGGAGAGACTCATCCATGGATGACGGAGAGCTAAGTTCCTCCACCAGTACCAAACAAACCTTTTTGGAGAATTCACTGTCTCGTAATTTATTGCCCACACCCGCTAAGAATAATCTTTCAGTTCTATAAGAGCTTGTGGCTAAGGTAGTGAGGGAATATTAATGCTAGAGCTTCTACAGTCGCACCTTTATCGAGTCAGTAATTGCTCTCATCAGTCGTCTATGAAGCCTCTATCGACCCAAACGGCGGGTCCATCACACAGAAGCGCTGACTCAGCAGTACCATCGCGTTTTAACAAGGTTGAGCTATCCTGAAATCTTCAAGGCCTGACCCTTTTACTTACGACTCACAACTGCCCTTCAACTCCATCTATTGCTCGGGTAAGTATGATACTAGTCGCTTCCACATCCCACCGACACTGACACAGGAGCTACCCGTTCATAGTTGTTCCTTCCGTCCCATTAAAGATACACTCTAGCGACCACGACGTACAATTTTCTAGTTTTGTCTCAACCGAAATACAACCTGAAAACCAAAATAATGCGATCGCTTTTCTCTGTTTCATTCATAGACCGCGACACACTGCCGCTTCTGCCTATCGAGTTATGTTTCAGATCCTTGATAGGCAAATCCAGGCAGCCCATGTTCTGCATGAAAGCTATCGTGGCTTCCTCCTTGCACCAAAAAGGCCCCATCTTCCTTCAGAGTTGAGCTCATGACTAGCTCAAGATCCACAGGATGATAAGTGCGCAGAATCTGTTTTTTTGGCTTCTATTCGATCCATGGCACTTGACGATTCAGCCACACAATACTGGAATGAGTTCTTATCATGGATCCAGGCCAGAATAAGTCAGCGCTCAACCCTGTCGATGTCGTCAATTCACTCAAAGGTCACACAAAACAATTGAAACCTTTCTTGTGCACCCGTCGAAAAGCGCATGAATATCGTATCCGAACTTGACATCTTCAATGCCTCTAGACTCTGTCTCGAGTTTTTGACAAGTGCGTGCCGTACGTAATTGTACGATGTCTCTGAATCTTTTTGGAAATTCTCCTGCTTCAAAAAGTCTGAAGCGTCGATCTCGACAGCCATCAACCCTAGGCTATGAGCTTCAATTTTTTGAGAAGAGTCGATCTTTCAAGGTCTGGGACCTATCAAACCACGGTCTTCATGAGGGTACATTAATTCTTTACGAGTATATCGCTTTGCGCCTACTATGACACTGCTTTATCTCACATGAATGTCATCGGACGCCCCCGGTAGAGCTTGACCTTTGTGCCTCTCAGCAACGCTGACTGGGAGCACGCAAGGCGCAATTCGATAATATTTCTACAGATTGGACATCTGCAAGTACCGCAGAGCTGCTTAGCAGGTAAAATATATTTCTCTTCCTCCTAAGCATTGCTTTGGTTTGTCTCATCTAGTGATGGAGTACCAGAGGTAAAGTCCGATGAGTGCTGACTCTTGTGGCGCGAATGATGTATTTTGCATTTGGTACTTCACCATTGCTTCCTTGAATGTGGTGGTGTACACGCAAACGGTCTCGGCGCGTGCAGCCCGGGAGAGTATCCGACAATTTCTTAGGGACCAACAATCGCCATAAGTATTTCGACCGTGGAGGCCCCAAGGGCTTTCAAATGCGCCAGCTATAGTTCAATCGAGAGCAGGCAACGAAACATCTAGTGAACAGTACCAATAGACTAAAATGGAATGAAACTAAATCCTCTATGTATTTCTTCACTTGAGGCTACGTGTATCACATCGTCTTCGTGCCAATACTCTGGTACCGTTAATTATGCAAACGGGCAACATAAGTTTCGTACAATTATACCAAAGTTTAAATAATAATGCAGCACTCACTTTGTTGCAAGAAGGTTTGAAAGATGGAAGGATTTGCATCGTGAAAGCAAAAAGACTTAGTTGAGTCGAGTGTTTTCGAGTCTGCTCTGAGAAAAAGGTGGAGGATGAATGTTCTGGCATTATATCGCACCCATGAAAATGGTTTCAAGCTCAAGCTGAAAGACAGTCATGCTAATGGAAATATCGTATCAAAAAGAACTTGCGGGTTTTTGATGAATTTTCGTGCGGAGCCCACTATGTCGGGTGTGCCGAAAAAAAAATTCCGGTGAAAAACTGGGACTAATGCATTTCAATGGAAAAAGCTACGTTTAGTGCTCTGTTGCGGTTTGAAAGTGGGGCAAGGAATTTGTTCGACAAGTTTGACAGGCATAATAGGCATCAAGATCGCAAGGAATGTGGAAAGTAAACTGATGGTCTGGGCCAACATTTGGCGAGAATGGCGCAGCAATGTTATCGATGCCAGCTAAGTCGTGTGGGTTGGAAACCTGACTTCGGAATATACAATAAACGTTGGTTACAAACTTTCGCAGCCGAAAGAACTTTGGCTTAGGAATTATTCACTGCCCAAATATTTGCGCACATCATTTGAATTGATCATTGCTTTCATTTGATAGCACGAGTAGTAATTGTGGAGAAGCAAAAAATTTGGTTGCGAAAAATATCATAAATATTGTTTTGAAGGGGAGATTCGTGCATTGGGGATGGGGAGTCGGGGTGTTAATGCAAAGTGATGGAATAGTGTAAGTAATGGTTTAAAGATAAGGAACAACGTTTTGGTTGTGAAAATCTTACATTGCAATAAAATATTTGTATAGCGGTTTCTGGCGAAATTTATTTCACAAGTCCCGGGCGTACAATATGATACGCTGATGTTTTTTCACGGGCATCTTGACCATCCAAAACGTACGAAATGCCCACGATCTCGCGTCAGGATTTGAGCTCAGTGATGAAAATAGTCTGACGTATCGCAATATAAACAACCAAAAATGCAGAACAATGACGAGATTTGGGACAAAAGCTCCCAATTAATTAATTTGTTGGAGTCATTTTTTCAACTAGCAAGTCCCAGTGGCACCAAGAAATCGACGTGAAGACTGATATGTGGATACTAGAATGCAATTCAATCAACAATAAGTAAAAGAAACATCATTCATACTTATCAGCACTATTAAGATATTGCTATGCTGTTTGATTTCTTATAACAAAAAGAGATATCGTCCACCTAACTCTTTTTTTATATCTCCTCGGGCCAGCCATAATGTCCAAGCGTATCAAACCAAGTTGGTCAAGACAACTGTCATGCTAGCCGACTTGTCAACTCAGACATTGCCTGGACCAAAGTTTATGGAGTTGCTGAAGATGTTAAGATTGCGAAGATCCCAGATGCGGTGTTTAACGGACCACATTTAAGGAAGAGCCAACCCTTTATGCATAAAAGGGTCAAGCACATTACAATCACAACAGCTGTTTTGTCCAGACATAGTTGATTGGTACGGTATAGCATGTTATCGGCAAGTGCTGGTATATCTGATTCAAGTGCTTGTGACCGTCAAGACAAGTAAATGTATCGTTAAAGGTGGCATCGTTAAAAAAATTGCGTATTATTAATCGCTAAGCATGAGGACTATGTTGGTGTAGCCATGATCAATAAGATGTATTCACTTTTGCTTTTACCACCTCTCTTGCAAGTGCAACTCTGACGAAATCTGATACGAACATTTATCAGCCTGGATCTACCTCTGATAAAGTGAAAGCCGCTTCTAGATGAAGCGCCAACTGCAAGTTAAGTGGTGCGGCTACCTGAAGTCACAGAGCGCATTATATGCGTATGGAGAACTCCACAGTGATTGTTCAAAGAAGTCGCATAAGTAGTAGTAGCCCCTCAGCATTATCCCTTAGAGTCAGTCTAACTTGTTACTGAGTGTTTGGATAGAAAAAGAATTTATGCGTGCGCAAACTTAAGCTGTGACCATGTGATTATTTTGCGTATAAGCTTGTGGACGTTCATATCCATTTGCGAATTTTACTTTCAAATCGATACTGATTTAAAGAAGATAATTGTATGTTGCTCAACTATTCATTTATCTCTGCATGCGGTTATATAGAAATTCTTGCGGAAGTCATGAAGGTATGTCTGTCATCGCTTCAAGCATTAATCGCATTTACCAACGACGACCGCCACCATCGCCTCCACGACGATCACCCCAGCGTGAAGGCGGGCGAGGTCGGCTGCTACTTTCAGAATAAGGTGGACTTGAACGTTGAGCGAACGGTCCGCTACTACTGTCGTTGCGGCGGTAGGAACTAGGACGCAACGAATTTGACGCTGGACCAACTAATGCTTTCACTTTAAAAAACTGAAGCGCCTGTGATAGCGTCGGCAAAATGGAAGACTCAATACGACCAAAGAAACGGTAGCCTCCGGATTTGACTTCCATGTGGCAACTGCGAGGCGTTTCACGAGCAATATACGTGATTGAAAAGCAGCCTGGAAACTTGTTGTACACGTGCAGAGCGTAAGGAATGCGCGACGGGTGCTCCTTCTTCTGCTTGATGAGCTCCTCTTCAACACTCTCCCTCGGTGCATTATTGTAGTACTTGTGGCGCACAACATCCTCCACCAGACAATTCATAGGGTCCACAAAGCGAGCAATCAGCTCATCAATGTTTTCATAAACTTCTTCCTTTATGATCAGGGTCTGGCCGATGCGAGCTTCCGAGGGTTTGTTTTTTTCTTGTATATCAAAGTGCCTATAGACACCATCCAGCATCTTCCATGTAAGTGTCAAATGATCAGACCCCACAGTACCTGGGCGAATAACCACATCTCCGATAGGCTGTTCTCGCAGGTACTGCATCGCTGTTTGACAATTAATATTCCGGAATAAAGGGTGAGCAATCTGACGTTTCTTGCGTTTTGAAGGAAGCGAGCCTGCAGAGCGAGTAGATTGGGTAAATGTCGTCTTGTCTTCCTCGATTGGAGGCTCATTCAATAATCGGTCTACGCGCTCCATGCTATCATTTTCAACAAGTTTTTCGTTCGTGTATCGAGGGAAACGTTCAGGATAAAAGCACATTGACATGTTGATCAACGATCGGCGGTTACAGCCAAGCTGCAGCTCATAGCGACCTTCACGATCCGCTTGAATTGCCAAAATTTTAGCATTAACCGTAATGCCTTTTGGAAAGCTCTGTGGGCGCACGTCTTGCAGATAATCGGGCAGTTGCTCACGCTTTAAGCTGGAGCGCATGCCGCTCTGCAAACGAACACGAACAAATTCATCGCCTGACATGTGCAGTAGAGTTGCAGGTACGATCATTCCCACTCGTAATGTCTCTCGAGTCTCACCGCTCAGCAAAAGAAACAGATCTTCGTCTTTAGGCACCTGATACTTTGCTCGCTTATCAAAGTAAGGGTATCGTAGCTCTCGCTTGATGTATTCAAGCGTCAGCAACTTGGGTCCCTTCTTTTGAAGCTCTAGACGACCAGCGTAGGCAGATAGATCAAGCTCAGACAACACATCCTGAATTTCTGCATCACCGAGACGAGTGTTGGAAGGCGCATTTCGACTGCGGATTGCTGATGCTGATTGATACATTGTGTCTTCGACTGCGTAGGAGTAGTGGTTTGGGTCGTACATATCGATCGTGGAGTTGTTGTTCGCATCACCACAGATCTTTACTGCCATGTAGTAGCTCTCTGGATGAATACGTGTATCATCTAGCGGATTTAAAGGGGCTTCACGCAAGGCATCACGCTCGCGAATACGAATAAAACCAGCACAGTTGCGATAGACAATTTTCCCCACAAAACCCTTCGACAGCAACTCTTGACGACGCTCGACGTAGTCCTTTGCACGAACTTTATCCAGAACCGACGCTGCTTTAACTGGACCCAATCCGCAAATAAACTGCAGCTGGTACGAGGTATGCTTATGATTTGCTAAAAGATTAATGTCAACGCCGTACTTGTTGATTACTTGCACAAAGACACGATCATACTCTCTCAGAAGAAGATCTTTTACTAATGAGTGCTGCATCATGTGGACATTTAGAAACAAGAGCTCACGACCACGACTTGGCTCATCAATTGCGATATTTTCCCACATTGCACATAATTCAGACGCCGGATTTCTGAGATAGCGACCAAGACCAATCGCGGCACGCACGTACTCAGATTCCTCGGGAAATTCCTGATCTGCGCGTTTGGAGCGACTAAACATGTTTGGCACGTCATCTTTCAAAAACACGATGTCCAGAAAATCATGCCCATCTCCGTTTCCAAAACGAGAAGCATCATCTCGCCCCAACAGACGACGTACTTCATCAACAACTCCACCCATGTCCATACACTTCATTCCCGCCGAAACATTGATCACGACGACATGAGTTTGCGAGTGCTCTGTTAAAAACTTTACAAGGACTGCAGTGAGCTTGTCAATGCTATTAACATCGCGCTTACAATAACCTTCCGTTTTGTCCACCAACTCCCCATTCACATCAAGAGCCACAATATGTGCTACAGAGTTTATGGTACTTTCGACCCAAATCGAGACAATGAAAGGATCCACCCCGTCAGCAGGTTCGTAAGGACGGACGGACAGACGTTCTCGTAGCGCTTTTCCACACAATTTCACTACCACGTCGCGAGAAGCCACAGTCAAATCACGCTTTAGCTCGTTCTCAAAAGATATGATCATGAAATTATTAATTGCTTCCTGAAGAATGAGATGGCGCTGACTTTGCCACTCCTCATCCGAGTCGTTATTTGACGATAAATAGATCGGCTCCAGAGGGTCCATCAAATCTTGAGCCTTCTCATTTATAATATTGATCGTCAAAAGGTCTTCCTTTTCGGCTCTAGAAAGCTTGAGCCAAAGATCCCCCGCCTCGAACACTTCAAGAACCGGCATCTTTTCAATGTATTGCAAGCCGTGGCAGTAGTGAAACTCATCAATTTCTTCGCGGCCCTTGACAGTTGCCTCTGTGCTCAGGACTGCGTGTTGACGATAGAGCTCACGAATGCACTTTCTAACGTTTGGCTCAGCCGCAACCTTACTGGCAGCAATGTGGCGAGCGCCCTTCATTACATCGTCAACAGTCGGAAATTCTTTAGTTGTGTATTTTTGAGCGAGCACACCTGGACTCTCCTCTGGAGTGAAAATTTCACGAAGAGAGTCTTCATGGTCGATACCAGCAACAATTCCACCAAGCACGGATGCATTCATCGTAAATGCCAGAGATACGGGGCGCAAACCTGCCTTGGTGCATATTTGATAAAATGTTCGACGCACTGGGCGGCGATACTTTTGATCTGAGCTTTCCTTATCCTGACCGGTAGATTCTTGAGCGTCCAGCGCAAAAAATTCCGACAGATCATTGTATATCTTTTCATCAGGGGTACTAAATAGCTGTTCGTAGCACTTTCGCACAAATGCCGATTCTTTAGCATTCGAAGAGTCAACTACCCTCTGAATCCCGCTTTGAAATGACCTTCTCTTCCGTTCCAACTTATCCCACTTTACATCAAGATCAAGGATTTCATAAAGATTCTCTGTATGCAGGCCGACCACTTTCCAGTATTCCTTGCAGTAACGTTGGACAAACGCTGGTTCGAGCTTCTCATCATGGTAAAATCGCAATACAGTGTCAATGGCCGACACAATCTCCCCACGTGAAGCAGCTGTATTTCGCTGATTTCGTCGCTCTAGGTTTTTAATTATGAAGTCACTTATCCATTCAGATTCTTCGGCACGAACCTCTGCATCCGGATATTCGCGATTTTTGTAAAGATACTGATACCGCTCTGGCAAATCGCTGTCGCGCACTGCCGCTACGTCAGAAGTCATCATGTGTTCCTTTAATACACTAGGCTCAAATTTATCTAATAATATAGCCTTTTTTGATTTTGCTGCTGTTACTTCAGAATTTTTTCCCGTTGCCTCTAAGAATCCGTCCATGTCGCCAAACAATTCTTCTGCCTCCCCCATCTGGTAGACTGACGGTCCTTGCATAGAGGTCGGAATAGGTTCCTGTTTTCGGCGACGACGTGGGCCCTCGCGCCCTTCTTCGTCGTCATCCACGATGAATTCATCGATATCGTCACTTTCGTACTCATCGTTGCCTAAGTAGTTGTTGGTACGTTGAGGTGCCGAATTATCTTCCTCTTCACTCGAGTCACCGAACATCCGGTAACTTAGCTCGCGAGACATGAGTCCAGAATCATCTTCGGACTTTACTTTACGGGACGATCGTCCCATGTCTTCATCTTCGCTGTCATTACGGGTCGGACCTGTGTCCATGCCCATATTCTCACGTACTAGCATGAGATCCTCGTCGTCAATCTCCTTCACCTTCTGTTTAAGACGTTTCAGTTTTTTTTCTTTTTTGCGACGTCGACGGCGATGGCGAGCTGGCGAGAATCGAGTAGAATGAAAACGGTGAGTGTCCCTAATTTTCTGATACTGGTTGGTAGCTCAAAAATCTTTAGCAGCAGAGCTTACCAGTCTCCTCCTCGTCAGATCCCTCATCGTCAACAACAAAGCCATCATTTTCGTACTCATTGCGATCCTCTCCTTCGTCCTCTTCATCTTCGTCATCGTCATCGGAATCTGCCCCTTCATCTTTTCCGTCGTCGCTTTCGGATGCCATGTCTTCAATAAAGGCCGACTTAGGCTTCTGCATTCTGGTGTAAATATAATATACAATCACGAAAGAAACGAGCGAAATGACACACCTTGTCATCACCGTCGTTGCCGACGGCGCGCTTGACCTGTTTGCTCTTGCTTTCGTTCTTACTCTTAGTTGTCGACCCACGGCTTAATTTCCGCTTCTTACTGCTACTTGTCTCTTCTTTTACAGCGTCCGAATCTGAGTTGGAGACCGTAGGAGACCCGGCCCCAAACAATTCATCTGTAGTCATATTACCCCAGCGTTAGCGTTAATAGCAACGATGATAATTTAAGAATGAGCTTCACGTCTCACCATCTGATGATGCCATGATGGAAAACTCTTTTTGCTGATACTGTGATGCTCGCGTCCGCTCTGCAACGATCCTTCTATCTGTCCGTGGCTTCCACCCAACGACGCGCCACCTGTACGTTTTCCAGGACGGGGGGCAGCTACTTCTGGCTACTTTTTAGCCAATCCAGGCTCGTGAAAATAATCAATACATTCAAAGGTGAAGCTCAGCTTTTGAAGTATAAAATGCTGAGCCGTCGGGTGGTTGACTATCAAGATTGAAAGATTCGCGGCTCTTAATGAAGTTTTGCCAAGGTTGGAATTGATAGAAGCTCTTATTGTTAAATTGATGCCCGGATTAATTCAGTCGAGCTGTTTTTTATTCGCTCTGCTTGCCGTATGGGTTTCATGGCACACCGCAATTATTGGTGCACAGGGCGCATCGCCTAAGCTGATATGGTCCGCAAGTCCACTCACGCCAGCAATACTCAAACTGTCTACCACAACATGGATCGATGTTCCCGACACACACGTCGCCATTGAGCTGCTGAACGAAGCTGTAGTGATGATCTCGTACGACGTATCAGTGTCTCATGTTGCAGACTTTATATCAGAAGGTGAACCGACTGAAACACTGAATGAAGTATCGTTTCGCGTAGCAGTGGATGGAACTCCTTACCGTCAATCAGCGACGACTGTAGATGACCGGGAACCACTCGTTGTTGTTGCAAGTGGGCATTTGATTCTCGAAGTATCACGTGGTAATCACGAGGTTACGTTGCAATGGCGCAACCGTGGCACGCACGGGGTTGACTGGATGGTGACGAGCGATTTATTGAATGGATTTGCAGGCGGCCGAATTCTCACCGTGTCAGCACAACACCGCTTTATTTGGTTCCGACAACCGATCACGGCAGTTTCTCTTCTATCCGTTGCTAAGTGGGAGGCGGTACCAGGAATGTCTTTGAGATTTCGCATCTTGGAATCATCCCCAATACGCATATTCTATCACATGCCCGTTCTTCCTGAATTATTTTATAGTTCTCGTGGTTAGTTAGCAACTCCTTCAAATAGCGGTGCTAAATTGCTTTGTGTTCGCTGACTGTATGCTTTGAATGAATGGGGACAGACATGACTGCGTACAATAAAATTGAGTCGGCACTTGAGATAAATGGACTTCGTTATCGAGAAACCGGGTCGTACGGAAATGTTGACGGATCTCAAAAGTCGACATTACATCTTCAAGGTAGCATCACGATGGATCTCATGCCAGGAGAATATAGCGTGGTGTTGTGTTGGAAGGCGTTGTCCGGCTTCAAACGTTCGTGGTTTTCTAGTCCGAATGCCTTGGACGGATTTGCTATGGGGCGGGTGCTAGCAGCGGTAGGTGAATACAGTATCAATTCAATGTCCTTGTACCATATGAAGCAATTTGAGTCTACATCTGTAAGTGAGTGGTCAGACGTAGGAGACTCTGTACTTCACTTCAAACTACCAAGAGCAACACAAGTTTTGCTGAGGTACAGTTTACCTCCTTCACAGAGTGAGAATTCGATATTTGCAAGCTGGACTGAGGACACGTGGAATAGCATTCAGACTCGATTGGTTGTGGACGGGATCGCATACCGACATACGTCATCATCGGAAGACGGCAGTATACATGGAATGGAAAATGAGAAGGCAAGTATGGTGCTGCCTCTCGCTGGGGGTAGCCATACTGCCCGATTACAGTGGAAAAACGTGGATAGAATTTCTTGGCGTGCAGTATCGTTTGTCAGGGACCAAACTTCTTCATACGCCTCCGTTTTTCTTAGCTTAAAAAAATTGGAACACGATATTAAGATTTTCGCTCCTACAGTACTTTTTGCAGAGGAAGACAAGACTCTTGAGATCGTAGGTATATCCATTGGCGATGCTGCCAGCGAAATGGCACTTGACTATGAGGTTACCGTCACCATGTCAGCAAAGAATGGCTTGTTGTCGTTACAGCCGATTCCAGGGATAACTTTTGCTTCTGGAAATGGCGACCGCAACGATTACTTGCTTTTTAGTGGTACACTGAGAAGCGTGAACACGATATTAGCTCGCATATGGTATAGAAGCTACTTAAATTGGTATGGGGACGATAAACTTTGTATAGAGGCAGTGGATCAAGGCGTGACAGAATCTCTACACACTACCAAAAGTGATGCTGTGGTTCTAATCCGCGTAGCATCTGTAAATGATTCGCCACAATTAATCGTTCCGAGTACTCAAATTCTGCTCGAAGACCAGCAAATCAGTATTTTTGGTGTAAAAGTTCACGATGTTGACCCTGGGTTTGCTGATAGCAACTCAACATTTGAAATAGAGTTATTTGTACTGAGCGGTGTGCTAACTCTGGGCCCCTGTATTGGAGTATTGTTCATAGAAGGTGAAGGAGTAGCTGATCAGCTCGTTCGCTTTCGTGGGGATATATCCGCAATCAATATGGCACTTTTCGAAATCAAATATCAACCTGACATGGAATTCAATTCGAAGCAGCACGCCGAACGATTGGGATTACGAGTGCGAGATTTAAATTACTATGATGGTACTGTTACAGATGTATTTGATAGTATCGCGCTGGAGGTTCAAAGCTCCGACGATCCAACACAGCTGGTGCTGTCGGAGCTCCTTACAATTACCCTTCGCGGATATGCCGTCGAAATGTTTGGAGAAACGAGTGGAAAAGAGGCGATAAGTGCTCAATTGCTTACAATGACGCCTTTTGGAGAAATACAGCTATCAATGCTGAGTAGCACATTACCGGCAGGTGTGACGAGACGTCCTGTTGGAGACGAACCATCGAGCACAATCCATCTCACAGGGTCCGTTTCTGATGTCAGTGACATTTTGCACTCAGTCTTAATCACTCGCTCCCCATCATTTTACGGATACGAGATTATTTTTGTCCGACTAAGCGCTCTTTCAAATATATCGATAGTGGAAGACTTTACTATCCAGTTGAATTTGCAAGGCAACAGTACTACCCAGCTTTGTACAATTGCTGGTTTGTGGCCATCTCGCGGACCAATGCAAGGAGGGACTAATTTAACTGTGACTGGATTCGGCTTTAAACATTGGCTCGCCCGCGCACTGTGGTGTCGATTTGGTAGAAGCGCTCTCGTAAGGAGTACGGTGATATCTGATACAACCTTGACTTGTGCGACGCCACCTGCAAGCGCTGACCTGCCTACTCAAACCTTTTTGATGGTGACAAACGCAGATGATTTTTATTCGAATCCTATATCGTTTCTGTACGAAAAATCGTGGACAATCGAATCAGCATCACCAGCACAAGGACCACGAAGCGGGGGGACTACAGTAATTATCAATGGACAAAATATCCCTCACTCTTCTGGTCTGCAGTGTGCTTTTGGGAAACATATGTCGATTGCGCGATATATGTCATCCTCCAGAGTCTCGTGTCATACGCCTGCGGTCAAAAACGGTACTACAGAAGTAGATTTGCGACTAACATCTAACGGCCAAGACTTCACATTGCCGCTTTTGTACAGTTTTCGAGGTATGTTAGACTGATTGCTAATGTTGTGTGCTGATAATGGTTTGCTCAATGATATCAACACAGATTCTCCGCAAATTTATGCCCTTGATCCACCATACGGAAGTTCAACAGGAGGGGATATCATATATGTCGCTGGAGCCAACTTTTTTCCAGACTCGTCTGCCAATTGCATTTTCAATGAGACAACCATCACATTGGCAACTTTTAAGTCTTCCAGCTTGATGTTGTGTCTGTCTCCCTCTGTAGATCTTGGTTTAGTGGAGACTGTTACTGTGAAGGTTGAGGTCGTCCTTGAAGCAATTTCATATCAAGTACCCGGAAATTTTACCATCTACGGTATGTTGATGATCGCTTTCGTCATATTTCGTACGTTTTCTGATGTATAATGCTCATTGCTGTCATTTAGTCCCGCCCACTGTGTATGCTGTAAATCCTGGATACATTATGGGAAGCGGTGATTTACTCACCGTTAGTGGATCTCATTTCCGTAATTTAAGCTCATTATCGTGTCAGTTCCTATGTGGTACAACACTCAGCAACGCCCCAATTACTTTTGTGAGCTCCACTCTTGTTCTTTGCCGCGTTCCTACCCTCTCACAACATAGCGCTTGGATTGGACTTTCTGTCTCGCTCACTAAAACAATCAATTTGTTCAATAAATGGCTTGACTTTCAGTATTTACTCCACCATACTCCCACCCCGTTAGTCGTTTCAGCTTATCCAAGTACGCTTTTGCGGATAGGAAGTCCGCCTCTCAAAGTTAATGGCCGCGGGATGATGAATGTTCATAGACTGTGGTGCAATTTTGTTGGTATTGGGGCCACTCGGATAATGCTGAAAACGTCAAATTTGGGTGCATGTGATGTTCCATTTATCCTAACAAACCAATCGTATCCGTATCAAGTACTGCAAATTGAGAGTATCTATCCACCAAAGACAATTCTGGCTGTGTATGAGCTCGCGGTAATAGAGCCGATCGAATTGCTGAGTGTGACACCCGCTTTGGGTTTGGTAAATGGGGGGACAGAGCTCAAAATTTTAACTGATAGTACACGCTTGCCAGATGTGTATAAGCTCACAACACTCAACTGCAAGATCGGAGGAATTGATGTACCAGCTTTTGCGTTAAACAGCTCCACTCTTCTATGCCGCAGCCCGGCAATACATAAACCAATGACAGCATTTGTGGAGATCTGGATCGCCCAAGATCGCACGCATTCACTCGAAAGGGCACAGACGTTTACATATATCCTTCCTATCAGAATTACAGAAGTGAGACCATCCCGTATCAGCTCAGCAGGCTACACCCAGATGCGGGTGACCATTAATAGTCGGGCTATGGAAGGTCTGAATTGTTTGCTTGGCTCAGTAATCGTTCCCGCTAAAATTGTTTCGGATTATACAATTGCTTGTGTATCTCCACCCCAAACGGCAGCTATCTTGACACTTCGTTTAGTCAATGACGGAAATTACGTGTTGTCTGAGAATGCGCTGCTAATCGAAGCGTATTTGGACTTGGATACAGTATATATTTCTCCATCTAATGGAATCGTGTTTCCTAACACAACGATTGGAATCGAGATAAAAAGTTTACCATCTGCTAGCCATGTGGAATGCTCATTTTTTGAAGGTGGAAAATCACCTTTAGCCAGTACCAGAGCTGTAATCAAATCCCTTAATTTAGCAATGTGCCACATTCCAGCTAACGTCTTCTCCCCACCAGCCAGGTTGGCTTTCTCAGTCGTAATTGATACTTTTGTTGTGGTCGACCAAATGCAGTTATACTTTGTCCCAGAGTTTGAAGTTAGTTCAGTCTATCCCACCATTGGGATCATCAGTGAAAAAAACTTGGTTCGAGTGCAACTGGAGTCATTAAACATTTTTGTAACACATTTCTGGTGTGCTTTTGGTGCAACACTAACTCAGGGCCGAGTTGAAAAAACACATCACGCTTTGGTGATTGAGTGTATGTCACCAGTCAACAACTTCGCAGCGGACATTCCGTTAGCGATCACAACAAACGGTGTAGATTTTTTCTCGTCGAAGGCAAAATATGAGCGAGTCTTCCGATATGTCCGAAAACCCTCGGTCTACTCGTTCGTGCCGCGGATAGGATCGACAAGGGGTGGAACAAAGCTTGTATTAAAGGGTGATGACTTTCATGAGTTTATGAAATTGACGTGCATCTTTAGCGGTTACGCAGTAGTACAAGCGGAGTGGCAAAATTCTAGCCACGTGTCTTGCATCACACCTAAAGCCGCATACGAGCAAAAAGTTGCAAGTATAGCTGTTTCCGATGCTAACAACAACTTTCGACTCAGAATGCAGCAAACTTTCGAATACGCACAAGATGTGATCGTGACGAAATTGTCTCCACCAACAATTCCGAAAAATTTTGAAGGAGTCCTTCGTATTTCTGTGAATTTCCTGCATTTGTCTTCATCCTGGTGGTGCCGAATAAACAATGCTTCATTAGTGGGTGTCTGGACTGCACGTACCGAACTGTTGTGTCCTGTCTCACCTCATTTACTTCGCGAGACTGATAATGCAGCAATTTCGATCAGTCCCAATGGTCAAGAATGGAGTCCTGTTTTCCCAATCAGCATCATTTCGGATTTCTCGGTTCACTCAATCGCACCCAATCGATTTGTATGCGGAAAAATGGAGGAATTGCATTTGTATGGTACAGGATTCTCCAATGACTCTCAAATGGCATGCTATTTTAACCATACTCCTGTGCCCGCTTTATACGTGAGTAATGTCGAACTATTGTGCTATCCGCCTCATATCGCGAACGTAACAGCATTAAACGTGACTGTGACTGGATACGACGGATTCATTGCGGAGAATGTAGTATCCGTTTTATGCCAAATCGCCCCTGTGATTCAGCACGTGCATCCTAGCTATGGTAGCTCATCGGGGGGAACCGTTATGACTGTTTTGATGCGTGATCCCTTGGATAAACAAACGGAAGATGTTCAATGCTGTTATGGAACACATTTTTGTTTGTATGGAGTGACTATAAACTCAACAGCGCTAAAATGTGTTACTCCCGCCATGGATTCGGGGCCGACCATGCTGAAAATTGTTCTCGGATCATTTGGTGAAGGTTTTCTCAATTCCACACAGGTATTTTTCTATTTTTTTCAAGTCCCTAAAATATTAGACGTCTTGCCGCAGCTGGTGCTCCTGTCTCTAAACTTCACAGTCTCGGTGTATGGAGAAAATTTTGTAAGCACCAATGAGCTAGGATGCATATTGCGCACTGACTACGGTGACTTTGAGTTATCAACTCAATGGCAGTCAAAAGAGCTGATAACTTGTATTCAGCCGTTTGAGAAGATTGAGCTGCCGACAGTCAAATCCATCAATGCTCGCGTCTTACTTACTGTCAATGGACTTGACCTGATCGACACTAGCATGAATATTACATTACTTCGTCCACCGGATGTACTATCAGCAATTTTTGTGCGATCTGGGCTGCAGCAATCTCTGAAATTGACAGGAAAATATTTTGATTCTGGCTTGAAACTCATGTGCAATATTGAGTCTTCTAACAAGTCCACGGTAACGCCTGCTCAAATTGTGAATGCAACGGTAGCAAATTGCCCAGCACCGCCTTGGAACATGGATAGGGAGCGTACAAAAGTTTGTTTGTGGTCAGCAAACAGTGGGAAAGTAAGTGAAAGCAGAGATGTTTTCGTCAACGGTGTCGCTGCTAACGGTAAATCCTGGTGGGGATTGCTGCCCAGCACAGGTTCCACGCATGGTGGAGACATCGTGCAGCTTGTAATGATTGGATTTGATGATAATCGTTCGAGCTGGAACTGCTGTTTTAATGAGCTGACGTGCTCACGTGTGTTTCAAGCACATCAGGGCGCTTTATGGATGGTGACTTTACCGGTCATAAATATGACAGGAATTGTGCCAGTGTCTCTAACATCGGGAGACGGGTCAGCTATTATAGAGCAAAAATCATGGTTTCTTTTTTTCGATTCTCCAATGGTGTGGACTATTTCTCCAACGACTGGAAATGTTCACGGAGGTAGCGTTGTATCAGTTCAGGGCGAAGGCTTTTTATCTGCAGCAAATTTGCAATGTAAATTTGGGAATCTGTATTCAATTCCATACTCTGTGTCAAATAATCGTTTACTGTGCACCACTCCTCGTTCCAGTTCTAAACAGCGTGTAAGGTTTGATCTTGTATACTCAGACGGGAAAGGTACGGGCAGAGTGGCAGAGAAGAATAGAGTCAATCATTTCGAATATGTTGCTGTACCCAGTATTGTCGGAGTCATTGTCAATGAAAATGCAAGCTCAAGGTTACATTTGATCATTACAGGATTTAACTTGTATAACGAAGCAACTTTAGTGTGCCGGTTCGGGCTTGAAGTAGTAGCCGCCCGCTTAGTGGAGCAAGATAAAGTCGTTTGCTCCCCGCATCGAACGTATACTGAGGGACAACAATTAGTTGTATCGGTTTCGAATGACGGTGTGCTGTTTTCTCGTGACTTTATCATCCAGTATAATGCTACAGGCTCATTAGCTGTGGCGCACTTATCACCAGTTTGTGGATTGGACTGGGTAAAGACAGAAGTATTATTGTATGGAAACGATTTTGTTAATGAACCTTACGATTGCATCTTTGGATGGAAGAATTGGCAGCAACGTGTCAAAGGCAAAACGATTAATCGATCCTGCGTAAGCTGTGAAGTACCACAGTGGACGTTGAGTACGCCACGAGAGCTTCCCATCTCGCTGCAATCAAAGACCAGTTTGGCACGGAGTAATGCACTTATTTATCGGTATATTCCAGAAGTTGTTATTTCTTCCGTCAAACCAAACCGTGCAGTCGCTGGGTTAGCTACAAGCATTGTAATCACCGGAGGTCCATTCGCGAATTGGCCTGGGGCTGATTGCATTCTGCTTCCGAGTCACCAAAATGGATCTGCAATTACTTTTCGCGCAGCGTGGAAATCCACCTATCAGATCATATGCACTATGCCTATTTCCCTGTTGCCAGGAGTTTACCGCGTTGGGTATGCTCCGAATGGAGTATACAGCGTCTGCGCTGAACAATTACTTTATTTAGTCAATCACCCTGTGGTCACAAATGGTCATCCTAACCGAGGGCCTACATCAGGTAACACTGAACTTGTGCTCCAGGGCCACTACTTTTCTTCAAATATGTCCTGCTGTTTTGGTGCTTCCTGTGTTCCGCTTAAAATTGTGAATACGTCGATTGCGATATGTCGAACACCTCCCCATTCAATTGGATCCGTTCCAGTTATGATCTCTTTTAGCTTGGTCGGACGTTTTCCATCCAACGTTTTGTTTCAATATTTCGAAGCCGCACGAATAAAAGAACTGATTCCTCCGATTATTGTGGTTGGATCCACTCAGCCAGAATTTATTGTAGTGATTGGAACCAGCTTTAGCACCGACTTGACATTCGGTTGCACCTTTGACGGTCTTGCAAGTACTCCATTACATGTTATTGCGCATAATAGCTCCAGTGTCACGTGTCCTCTTCCAATTATTCCAACGAGACTGTATTCGGTAATAAAGCTAGGAATTGTAGCGTTCACCGACGCTTCAGAAATATATATGACGAGCATTTCTGTTGAGCTAGTTGAACAATCTGTGATCACAAGAGTTCTGCCTGAAGTTTTATCACCCAGTGAAAATATGATGTTTGAAGTTCATGGTGTATTGGAGTACATGTCAGAATACACAAGGTGCACTTTTAAATGCAGAAGCTTTAGTGGTACTCAAGTCATTCGAGAAGGTGCGTTCACCTCCCTGACGAGTGCTATTGCGCAGTGTGACTTGTTTGATCTCGCTCTCCCGCTTGGTTCGTGCCAGATTACTCTATCAAAAAATGGCGTCCAAGTCTCGAGCAATAGTATTGAAATACTGGTACGTAATCCAATAATCGTGAGCCGTGTTACACCTTCGTCAGGCTTCACACTTGGAGGCACTCTTCTTACCATCGACGGATCAGGTTTTCCAGACGACATTGAGCCACTCTGTCATTTTGGACAGGCAATTTATCAAAAAGCTTTAGTCATTTCTACCGGTAGATTATACTGCTCCACTCCTGTGATGAAATTGCCTAATAGTACCAAGATTCTCGACATGTGGATCTCATTTGGCGGGATAAAGTCCTCAGTGCTGCCATTCTTCTTTTCTGCTCCAGCTCTCATCACCGAAGTGAGTCCAAAGTTTGGCCCCGCAGACGGAGGGACAAAAATTGAAATTAAAGGAATAAATATTTCTCCAAATTATGGAGTCAGCTGTTTGTTTGATGGAAAAACCATCGTGATGTCTGACTCGTTACAGCAAGGAGCAGTGTGGTGTACCACGCCATTGATGATAATTGGACTGCACACGTTTGAGCTCATCACCGAGAGTGGTGATCGAATGTCTAGCAACTCTGTCGAGTTTCGAGCTATTCCGCGCGAGCAACTTTTTTTCATTTATCCTACTCAAGGCATCCAGACTAAAGTTACCGAGACAAAAATTCGTGTAACGGGTAGTAATTTTGTGGATTCGACATCTCTTACATGTATTTTTGGCGACGTTAAGGCATCTTCGACAAGTTTTGTATCTCCTTCGATGATTGAATGTGTTGTTCCGTTTATGCAACTCGGAACGAAAGTGGTTAAGGTATCGAATAACGGCGTTGACTTTTCTTTATCCTCGCAATTGTATGAGGTTTTGCCTCTAATGTCGATTGCCAGGGTTTCTCCCCGTCATGGTTCTTTTTTGGGTGGTACTGTTGTGGTGTTAACTGGTGTGTTTGAAGTTTACGATGAAATTGAATGCATGTTTGGAGGCAAAGTTGTTGCTGCCCACTTTATCAATGCCTCGGTTGTGAAATGCATTGCACCACCTGCAAGACTTGGTGACATCGTAGCGATCAATGCCCGCGTCTACAACATAATTGCCTACATTGAAGATGATGCCGAAACCGACTTCGTGTATGGAGTGGGACCCGTCGTGACTAACATATTACCTTCGGTTGTATCACAGACAACATCCTTAATTAACGTAACAATTATCGGAGCAGATTTCAGCCAGTCAAATCTGGTCGGCTGTCAGTTCTCAACTCAGCCAATATCTCGCTTTTATTACGACCGTGGTAATGGCTGGTGTACCTTCAATGCAACTTTTGTCGGTGTTTTTGAGCTGGTTCTGACATCATCTGGAATTAGTTTGGATCGAATTATTACTCACCAAAGCATTCGTGTTATTTATGAAATTCAGCCGATTTCTATATCACCGCGTCAATTTGATGAACGTGGAGGAACCGAAATTATCATACAAGCTTTAAATGTAGTCCCAAGAGGGACGTCGCTTCGGTGTCTTTTTGGCCAGATAGAAGTCGATGGACTAGCTCTTTCGGACTCTCTATTACGTTGCATAACGCCCTCAATGCGACCCGGCCGCATGTCATTTAGGCTGAGTCAAGATGGATTTTCTTGGTCAAGGAAAGTGCTGGAGATTGAAGCATTTGCCACCCCGCAATTGTTTGCAGTATCACCCAGTCGCTCTGCGGCTGTGGTGGGCTTTGCTTTTATCGTGTATGGAACCAATTTGCGCCCTTTTTTAAGTCTGAAATGTACTTTTGGTGATGTCAAGGCTCCGGCGATCAGTTTAAATGACTCAGCGGTGAAGTGCATCACTCCGTCACGACTCAGAGTAGGCACTCTTGCACTGGGTGTCAGCCTGAACGGAATCGAAGACAGTCGCAATACTTTAGATGTGGAGATTTACAATATTCCAAGTAGATTATACATCCGATCACTCAAGAGACTGCTGGATGGTCGCTGGGTTGCTTCGATCGATGGTTTAAACATCTCGCCGCACGGTCAATATGTATGTCAATACGAAGACAAGCCTTTGTCAGGATTTGTTCGGAATGTGACGTTTCGTGGAATGGAGTGTATATCCGGCTCCACAACGCAAAACAGGCGTCCAAACTTGCTTACATTAACGCTGTCTGGTGAATTGCTCCTACGACAAGATATCACTAGAAACGTTGGGTGCCCAACCTTGGTGTATGGGTTGTCGACGACAATAGTGCGATCAGGACAAAGCCGTGAGATCTCTTTATTTGGCTTTAAATTTGATTCTAAAATGGACTTAGCCTGCCATATTGGCCACCATACTTCTCCCGGTGTCGTCAAATCTCAAAACACGATGCACTGTGCTCTTCCATTTCAAATACCTGGAAAGTATACTCTTGAAATCACATGTGCTGCTGGCTTTGAACTCCTGGGAGCATACCAAATTGAGTACGCTCCTTTGCCTCGTATTTGGAGCTTTCTACCTATCATTGTGCCTAGTGGTGGCACGTTCGGTGTCGAAATATTTGGGTCCAACTTTACCCAGGATGATGTCGTCTTTTGTGTTTTCGGCTCTTTGACAATGCGTGTCCAGGCGACATTCATTTCACCGTCTCGTTTAAAATGCTCGACCCGTCGAAATTGGGTAGCTGGCCAAGTTCTGTTAACGTTGGTGCTTGAAACTCACGATGATTTTACAAATGTGTTATACCAATCTTCCTTCATCATTGCTGAAAGGATACTCGAATCAAGTAAATTTAAACCAGATTTTGGCTCGACAATCGGCAACTATTTAATTTATGTAGAGATGAATGTGTCCTGGAATAGCTATGAAAATAAAAGTTGTAAATTTGTGTCAGCGGATATGGATGTGGGCACTGAATTTTACAGTTCTCTTAAAAGTTTCGATACTGATCAAACAAAAGTTTTAGGTTGTCACGTGCCACGATTAGAAGTTGGATCGTACTCAGTATCATTCTCACCAAATGGGCGCGATTTTGTATTATTTCGCGAATCATTCATTGCTCACTTACCAATTCAAGTGGGAAGCGTAGACCCCCCCTTTGCCGTTTCAGCCCGCTCGATGGACATTAGAATATATGGTAAAAATTATCAGCGCTGGATGCGCCTTGAATGTGGATTTCGTGTGAATGGAACAAATTTTTATTTTTCAATCGCCGAATATGTATCAGACACATTGGTAAAATGTGAAGCACCCAATCACATACCAGCAATTGGAATTTTTCAGTTGTTTCCACAGACGTCACTCATTTTTCCAAATATATCATTTCCTTTTGAGTTCAAACCGGGAATCAAATTTCACTCGATTTACCCTGATAATGGCACCACTAGCGGCGGTACTATTGTGAATATTGTGGGTCAAGGATTTTCTAGAGACATCGACCTCAGATGCCATGTACTAAATGAAATTTTAATCGCGACATTTGTCGATGCAACTACACTTCGCTGTCGAACCCCGGCATCTCAAGCCACGACAGCCCCTTTTCGCTTCTCAATTGGAAATATGAATTTCTTTGAGGAAGTCTTTATCTTTACGTACGTATCACAGCCTCAACTGAGTGACGTAAAGGATCTATCTGCCGATCTCGATGGCAACAACGAAGTCAATGACAGTACTCAGTATCCATCTAGGTCTGAACAACCCCGTTCATACGAGTCCACGCCATCGATACGTTTTCTTGAGCCCACGTTAGGCTGGACTCGCGGTGGCACTACAGTTGTTGTGCACGGATTCAAAATGATATTTTCATCTAATATTGAGTGCGTGTTTGGGCCTAAAACAGTTCACGCCGCATTTATATCAGCTCAAGAGCTCGCATGTATCTCTCCTCAATTCGCTAAGCCTGGTCGTCACAATTTCGCAGTGAGATCAAAAGGCAGAGTGTGGGAAGCAGTCACTCCACTCTGGTTCGACGTGTTCTCTCCACCTTACATTGAAACAATGAAGCCTACTTCTGGGGATGTCACAGGCGGTACAAATGTTGTGTTTCAAGGAAATACTAGCTCTCTTATGCAAGCGCGATCAGATGTTTTTTGCCGATTTGGTGAATTCTTTGTGCTTGCACGAGTCACTAGCACTACTGAAGTAGAGTGTACATCACCGCCTACCGCGGAGATTTCGGTCGTCGACATGGCCTTGTTTTTTAATGCTAATGATATCGTACTGGTGCCGTTCATGTTTCACTACACGCAAAAGCCCGCGTTTCGCTTTCTCACACCCGCAGTTGTCAGTGAATATACTGACGGATATGTGACAATACATGGCAAGGGATTTGTCGATTCAGGTGGTACTGCGTTCTGTAGCTACGATTCAATTACAGAAAATAACTACTTCTTGGACTTTGTTAGTGACGATGAGATTCGCTGCTCATTGCCACATCTCAAACCCAAAAATCTTGTACTTATCAGCGTCAGTTTCAACGGGGAAGACATCTTTTCTACTAACCTCAAACTTAGTGTTCGGTCTCGACCTATTCTGCTAAGTATGACTCCACAGCTGGACAGCGTATATGGCGGTGCTGTAATAGAAATTACGGGGCTAAATTTATTTTTTGCGGATCATTTTCTTTGCTTGTTTGGAACGAAATGGTCGAATGCTACAATGAGACATGGCAAAATTATGTGCTCGGTCCCGCCATCAGTGTCGCTCTCTAGTACTTCTCGCGTCAATGTTTCGTTAATAAGCGGTACTAGAAAATATGCTGCGGAGATATTCAATTTGACTTACACTCTTGCACCAGAAATTTTGTCGGTCTTAACGATTCCAAATTTTGGAAATAGATTCCAGCAAATTCAATTGTGTGGAAAATTTTCAACAAGTTCTTCGTCTCATTACTTCCGACTTGAAAAATTTGACAATGAGATGGGAAATAATATAATCGATACGGGTATGTTTGGACGCTTTATAAATAGAACATGCCAAGTGTTTGAGACAGGAGCGACTGCAGATGCTTGCTCATCAGGATGTGATCTCTTATGGTCTGTAAACAACCAAACTTTTATTCACACAGGGAGGCAGATTACATTGTCGCCCCTGACACGTATAGTTAAGGTAGCACCTTTGTATGGCTCGATCAGCGGGAACGAGGTTATACGGATCGAAGTCGAAAACTGGAATTCATTGACTCATTTGAATTGCGTTTTTGATAAACTTCATCGAACAATCATCACATTAATGTCCTCTCGGATTGCAGAGTGCGAAACAATTTCGCATTCCGCTGGATTAGTCGACTTTGAAATTGTGATAATTGACGAATTTGGAGCCACACAAACTCTGAGAAAGGTCAATTTTACGTTTGTCGGTCCAATGGAAGTCGCGCAAGCTGCTCCATTAATAGGCTCGAATCGTGGGGGAACGTCAGTTTATGTTCGTGGCAAAGGATTTCTGAACCACCATGAGCTTCGATGTCGGTTCGGGGAGTTATCTGTGCCTGCTCATTACGTCAATGGCTCTTTCGTTATTTGTGTTAGCCCTCCCATGATAAAAGCCGCAACTGAGGTATCATTTTTCGTATCACTAGGTAAACTTGTTACATATGAAGTAAACGACGCAAAAGCTACGTTTTTATACATAAACACACCATTGATTACAAAAATTGAGCCATCGAGTGGTATATACAACAAAACCCATTCGATAAAGATTTTCGGCTCCCAAATTATCCCTCAGATGGTCACAAAATGCCGATTTGGAGAAATCATTGATAATATTCCGGCGAAAATTGTTTCAAATGGTCATTTATTATGCGCGGTTAAATTTCATTCACTTGGGAATATACAAAATTCAAAACAGCTGCCGATCGGATTGAGCATAAGTGGAGAACCATACTTTGAGACTGGATTCAGTTTTACTGCGTTTAAGCCTTTAGTGCCCATCAGAGTCATCCCAGATGCAATCATTAGAGGCCGAACCGATCAAGTCAAGATTGAGTGTCGTGGTACATACTCGTCACATGAATGGCGATGCATTTTTGACGATTTGAATGTGACTACATTGGGAGAACTTGTGTCTCGAAGTGTTATATCTTGTACGTTACCTCCAGAAAAATATTTAAAACCAGGAACAATCTATGTGAGGCTTTTCGATAAAGACGTCGAAACTTCCGCCAACGCTGTTGAGGTCGATGTGCTCGAATTGCCTGAAATATTCGATTTCAGCCCAAAATTTAGCAAAGTTCACACGTCATCTGATACTGACGAAACTGTCGATCACGTGCTAATTACCGGAAGAAACTTTGCACCGTTCAGACGTATCGATTGCCGATTCGGTTCATTATCTTCTTTCGGGACTTTTATTAGTTGGACACAACTTCAATGTTTGATTCCAAAGTCGCGTACTTCACGTCGCGTATCACTTTCTATCTCGTTCAATGGAATTGACTTTTTGTCGGCATATCAATCATTTGAGTTTCTCGTTAACTTAAATGTTGTTAGTGTATCTCCCAACATTGGTGCAATATCAGGAGGCACTACTGTACACGTTTACGGTGGTGAGTTTGTGATGCAAGAAACGATCGTGTGCAGATTTGGCGAGTATAGCAATTCTCAGAATGCTGTGGTCATTTCGCCCAGCGAAATTATCTGTACGACTCCCGAAGTTTTCACTATTGGCAAATTTGACATTAGTATATCGTCTTTAACGCGCAGGCTTTCTGGAAGTCTGTCGAACGCTTTTACGTACACCAAAGAGCCAGTGGTGTTGGCAGTGGTTCCTTTGGAGGCGCTATCAATGATCGAAACGTTGTTTGATGTTTACGGTCGAGGCTTTGTCCGCTCGCCGCTGCTGGGTTGTAGCTTTAGTGAAAATGTTTCAGCAAAGATATTCACTGTTCATGCCATCTGGGTCACTTCGAGGCATATTAAATGTTTTTCTCCCACAACAACCTCATTTGTAGGTGGGATTCAACTCCGGGTTGCGAATAATGGTGTTGACTTTGTACACGCTCGCTCAAAATCCATGATCCAGTTTCGAACTCAAGTTGATATCTTAGAGATTTATCCTACGACGGGTATCGCTGAAGGCGGGACACCTGTTATGATAAGGGGCAAACATTTTGGCGGCGCGTACGGGTACTGGTGTCGATTTGGTGAAAATACCGAGCCAGTTGGTGGTATCATTATCAGTGACAAAGAACTTCGATGTACTAGCCCACCTTCCTCGTTCGATACAAAAGAAATCGAAATTTATCTCTCGATAAATGGCCGCGATTTCGTCTCGACCAATCAAACATTCAGCTATTACTCCCAACCGATTGTCGTCAAGATATCTCCAACACAAGGCTCTATGGACGCACCGACTGTGGTAACTATTACTGGAGCAGGAAACTACTCAGGTGTACCGTTGTGTCGTTTTGGAAATATTATTGTTCAAGCGTATTTACGATCTGATAAGGAACTTATGTGTACTGCCCCCTTAAGTCGCTTTGCTGGATCTGTTTTTGTCGATGTTTCCCTAAATGATGGTGTAGACTTTACTCACAACAGTATTTCATACACATATGTGCTGGGTCCACGCATCCGCCACATCTCTCCTGTCTCAGGTCCAGCAGCTGGTGGAACATTGATGCATATTACAGGCCTCAACTTTTATTCATCAAGATTAACAAAATGCTGTTTTGGAAATCGATACAGCTGCACCTCTGGGTTGTTGTTAAATGCCACTGTGATTCAATGCGTGACTCCGCCCGCAAAACTTTCTGGAGCTGAAGTTGGCTCCAAGCAAGTTCCAATACTTTTAGCCTTAAACGGCCAGAATTTTGTCACGCTTAATATGCGATTTGAGTACGTTTATGACATTACAATTGATTACGTGCATCCAGCTTTCGGTGATATTTATGGTGGCACTGTGATATTCTTATATGGTCGTCACTTGCGCTACTCAACCGGTTTACAATGTCGTTTCGGTAATCTTCGGACTCCAGCATCATACTGGAATGACTCAGCGGTATCGTGCGAGGCTCCTCCCTATCAAGTTGGTGACACAAGTCTATCGATATCGCTGAACGGCCAGGACTTCACTTCCGCCAAATTAAACTTTACTTACATCCAGCTTCCGTTTGTCTACACACTAACGCCCAGTGCCGGACCATTGCGTGGAGGCTTTTCAATTCAAATAAGTGGAGCTTTTTTTTCAAATATCACAACAATCTGTCAGTTCTCGCAAAACGACGAGATCATACAAGACACGGTTGCTCTTTTTGGCTCTTCCGCTCAAATAAGTTGCTTGGCTCCTTCTGGCAATCACTTTGGAAAAGCTTCGCTTACACTCTTTGTTCATGGAATTTCGGCTCCAAAACTCCAAAAGTTAGATCTTTGGTACTATGATAACGTTAGCTTACACGCTGTGGAACCGTTGTTGTGTAGTAATGCCGGTGGCTGCACTTTGGTAATTTCTGGAGCCAATTTCAGACGAGATGCAGATCAACAGTGTTGCGTTAGCGTGCCGGGATTGAAATCAAAGTGCGTCTTTGCAAACGTTGTTAGCGATACCAAGTTGATATGCATTTCACCATCAATAAGTCACAGGGGATTTGTCGAAGTAAATATAATATCATACGGTGTGAAGTTGTCAAGCCATGCTCTGGTTATAGAGGTTCACGACCCTATCATATTGAATGAGGTACATCCAACGACAGGAACATACCGTGGAGGCACGAAGATAACAGTCACAGGCTGGAAGTTCGTGTTAACTCCACACCTTTCTTGTTGCTTTGATGATAATCAGGTACCGGCCACACTCATCAACTCCTCGGTGCTCGAGTGCTTTACACCTTATCATAAAGCAAAATCTGCTTTAATAAAAATAAGTATGAACGGCCGAGACTGCTTGAATAGTGGGGTCGATGTAACATTTGAATTTCAACTTTCCCCTACCATTTTTCAAGTATTTCCAAACGTTGGCACACGGATGGGTGGCACAACAATTACACTGCAAGGTGAACACTATAAAGCAAACATAACGACCTGTTTTTTTGGTGCTGTCCAGGCAACTTACCATAAAGTACTATCAGACACACAGATGAAGTGTACAAGTCCAGCACAAAGCCCCCCACAGCGTGTTCAGGTCATTGTAGCCGACAATTATCAAGATTTTTCCACGAGTCCTGTTTTTTTTGTGTATCTTGCAGCAGAAGAGGTCAAATCTGCGTCACCAATGCGTCTATCCTCGATTGGAGGCGGTAAAATTGCAATTGTGACCGAAAATGCTCGCGATAGTGCCACGCTCAGCTGTTTTTTCGGCCACGTAATTGCTCTTGCACAGTTTGAATCAGCATCGAAAGTCTACTGTTTAATTCCAGCTTTGACGCCTGGATTTTACGATTTGTATATTTCAAATGATGGAAAGCTCAAGTCTCAAAGTTTTGCTACTGTTGAGCTTGTGAAACCGCCGATTATAGCAACAGTAGAACCGCTTTCTGGTGGAGTGGAAGGTGGAACACTTGTGTCGATTAAGGGTTCCCGACTTGACACCGTGTCCCACTGTCGCTTTGGTGTAGTACACGCATCGGCTTATGTACTCAGCCCCAACCTAGTGCAGTGCAAATCACCAAGACAGAATAATTTTGGAAACGTGAATTTTGATATCTGGGATCATGGAGCTAATATTCCATCTCATGACATCTTATTCACTTATCTGAGTCCAGAACAGACGACCAGGCGTAGATTAGCTCTCACAAACGACAAAGTCGGCATTTCTCTTATCCCTACAGTCTTGTCAATGTATCCTTTTGAAGTATCGATTATTGGAGGAACATTAATCACTGTGTATGGCGATAATTTCATCAACTCCCTGGAGCTTGCCTGTCGATTTGGTTCGGTAATCGTTGAAGCAAGGTTTCACTCTGCCGAACAAATTGTGTGCGCAACACCACGATTACAACCTAAGCAATACACGTTTCAGGTTTCAAATGATGGTCTAACCTTCTCGAATAGCCCAACGGGTATCTCTGTTTATACAGACGCTTTTGTCGAACATATATCGCCCACACACGGACCTCAAATTGGCGGAACTACAGTGACAATTTACGGTATGAATTTTCGAAGAGGGCTGTATTTATGGTGCAAATTTGGCGAACTTGGCGCAGTGCAAGTAGTAAAGTACGTTTCATCCACTGAAGTTGTTTGTGTCACGCCACCTCAGCAGGATATGACATCTGTTGTGCGAGTTGTTGTGATGAACAATAACGTCACCTTTACACCCAATCCAGTATTTTTCACCTACACGGCAGCTGCAGATCTAGTGTCAGTCACACCAAGTATTGGAAGTCTTTCTGGGGGCACTCAGCTTTTAATTCAATGGCACAGACCTGAAATTAGCTATGAAAGTGTCGTCACTTGTCGTATTGGCGGTATCAATTCGGTCGGAGTCGTTCTTGCAACTAACATTGTTGAATGTATCACTCCTGCTTCGAAGCAGCCAGGTAAGCAATTAATTCAATTGAGTACCAATGGGCATGATTTTACATCGTCAAAACTATATTTTGAGTACGGCGAGAAAGTTGTCCTTTACTCGATAACTCCTAATCTGGGTCCAAGCATTAATGCAAACACGGTCATTACCGTACGCGGCAAGGGATTTTTCAACTCAATAAACCTTGCATGCATGTTCAGGTCGACAAAGATCTCTGCTAGATATATTGACCCTGGTATGATTACTTGTGCCGTGCCGCGAGATACGCCCAGACAGGTGGCAGTGCGAGTTACAAATAATGGAATTGACTTCTCTAACTTTGCCATATATATGTACGTAAGCGACATATCGCTGTCACGATTATTTCCAACAAACGGATTAAAAGAAGGCGGTACTAGCGTCTTTTTTCAGGGAACAAATTTTGTCAATCACACGTTGTTGGCTTGTCGATTTGGCGAAATACTAAGCCCAGCAACGTACTTGTCGGAACATATAGCTACTTGTGTTGCACCCCGACAACTTGTTGACTTGCGACCAACTAACGGTACCGTTTCTGTGGAAATGACTAGTAATCAGGTGGATTTTACAACCAGTGGCCTTGAGTACACTTACTTGCAAAGTTGTCCAAGCTCTCACTTTTGCTTCAATGGAGATATATACACATGTCCCAATGGAACAACATGTGGATCACCGGGTGGAACTAACTTCACCCTTTGTACTCCTGGAACGTTTCAACCGCGGCATCACCAAATTACTTGTTTGCCTTGCCCAGTTGGATTCTTTTGCCCCGACCACGGAATGACAAAGCCCTTACTGTGTTGTGCTGGAATGGTATGCGATGAGCACGGATTGCGTTCACCTTTAAAGTCTTGCCCTGCGGGTCACTATTGCCGAAAAGGGACTAAAACCGCGGATATTCGCGACTTTTCCACAAATCCCGAATACTTGATTGATGATGAGACGCAGCTCGCCACCTTTGTAGAAACGTCACGAGCGTGGGCCCTCATATCTCGGATCGCCCCGGCTATCGGAACTCGTCGTATTGAACATTCGCCTCGTTTTAGCTCCTGCGATTCTCGATTATGTGTGTCAAATAGCACTGATCTTCTAGCTGAACGACCCTATGCTTGTCCGCTTGGTACTTATTGTCGGCGGGGTGTAGCTGTCCAGCAGCTGGAAATAAACAATTACAGCGCTCCTCAAAAATGTTACGCAGGATTCTTTTGCCCTCGTGGTTCCTCCACTCCGGAAGGCAAGGGTCCATGCCCGACGGGCCACTATTGTCCGAACGATTTTGACGCAGTTGTATGCGCTGCTGGTCAGTATTGCCCGGGAGTTGGTAATCTTCGACCAAGAGCCTGCTACCCGGGAACGTATAATTCCTTTACAAAACAATCTATCTGCTCCCTATGTCCGACTGGACATGTGTGTCCTCAGCCTAGGATGACAACTCCTAAGTTGTGCCCTGCTGGATTTGTTTGTATTTCTGCTGGCTTGGCTGTCCCTTCGCTGCTCTGCCCTGCAGGATATATATGTATGGAAGGCACACGAACACTTGACCCGTCCAATACGATTCCATTTCACCCACATTCATGTCCAAGAGGTACTTACTGTCTCGGAGGTGTGGCACATAACACTACCATCGAATGGATTCCAAGTCGACCAGAAGGCGCGGTTGCTCCTCAGATTTGTACCGAAGGCACTTTTTGTGAAGAAGGAACGCCGACACTTTCTGGCACTGACGTTTGTTTTGCTGGTCACTATTGTCCACCCGGTACGAGCACTCCAATCCAATCCCAAGTTGGAAGTTTCGCAGGAACTACTGGGTCCGTTGTCTCGACAATGTGCTTTCCTGGTACCTACACCCCTTTAAAAGGCACTGTAAAGTGTGAGGTATGCCCTGCTGGTCATAGCTGTCCAGAATATGGCACTTATCTTCCGTCGTTGTGTCCACGTGGCTTTTATCGGTCACTGGCCGACAGTATCACGTGTCGAGCTTGTCCAGAAGGGACGTGGTCACCAAATACGGGAGTGACTGATGTTTCATTCTGCGAAATTTGTCCTGCTGGACGGGTGTGTGGTAACTCGGGTATGATTTCAATGGCTTTAAGTTTGCCTTGTGCTGAGGGCTACGTTTGTGGCGAGGGAACTAATCGGCGAACGCAGTTTGAGCACATGTGCCCTGCCGGGCACTATTGCTCGTCCGCGACATCTATCAGCAACCAGTATGGACTCGTGTGCGAAAAAGGTTACGTGTGCACTCGCGGGACCAAGATAACTGAAAAGACTAAAGACAAGTGCCCAGATGGCAACTTTTGTCCTTCTGGAACTGCTAATAGTAGCAGTGTCTACACAAATTGTCCGAGTGGCACATGGTCAAGCTCAAGTGAGGACGAGCTGTTGGATTGCAAAATTCGAGCTGTGCATATTTGTGATAAATTGCCGGAAAGGCATTACTATCCTCAATTTACTTATCAATTCCAAGGCAGCCAAATACGCTTTGATTCCACGAAGGAGACTACTCGGACGGGAGAAGTGGAGGCAATTAGTGTGATAAACCCGGTAAATGTATCGGCTTCCGTACCCTTCTGGAATAATGATACCGTTGATACCATTCGCGTTTGCCCGCCGATTGTGGCTCGTGCTGGTGGAATACTTTTGACTGTGATTGGCCGTAATTTCATAAACACGGGACGTCTGGTGTGCAAATTTCAGATTCCGATGACTCTATATTCTCAAACATCACCAGGGTTTTACAAAAGCAGCACAAGAGTGACATGTCGGGCTCCTCCTTTCATGACGAATACCATAGAAGATGTGCTCTCTCAGACTGTGGAGTTAAGTATCTCCAACTATGGAGTTCACTTTTCTACTACGACTGCTGCTTTCACATTCGTGTCAGAAAACAAGGTAGCGGCCTTAGACATGAAGCAATTAATGACGAATTGTCTAAGAAAATTAGACAAAGAGGAAGGATTTCGTGATAGTGATAAGACGTGGTTTGCACTCACTGGACTAGGAAAAGCCAAAATTTCCTTTGATTTCCGTCACCTCCCTGATGATCTTGTCTACGATGAACACTACAAAATTGCAATTTTCGTCCGAAACAGTACCTGCCGAGACTTAACTTGCGATCCTCGAGGAGTAGTGCTTCCAGATGTTGAGACATCGCCGTGTCACCAACCGCTTGAGCTTCCACGTTGGTTTTTATCTACCACAGTAAAAAAGAACGATCTCATCAATATAACCTTGCTTGCCTTGGAGGATGTGACATTTAAAGTGGAAATTCACGTCATGTATGGGCTATACGCTTCAGCAGCACCCTTCTTCGTTAACTCGACAATTGTTGAGCTGAAAACTCCGACGCGGAGCAATGTTACACAAGGAGTGACGGCCGATTTGCGGCCTCTTTCACGCTCTATTTCATATGAATCACAGATGATACCTCGAGACTACACTTTTCTCATTGCTTACTTCGGCAAAGACGGAGACTACACGTCACCACCACTAAATCTTCCACCGAAATATGAAGCTTACGAGCGAGGCCGTATCCTCTTATCCCACAATGTGAGCAGCAAAAGAGTTCCAGTTGTTGCTGATCCTTACACGGACGTTGTTACGGATACGTCATATTGGTTGATGCCGTATGTTTCGGCGGCAGTAACGCACGATAAAGTCGAGAAATACCGGGAAACATTTCAAGAGATGTACCGTGATCCAACTGATGCCACTGGTAAGCAATATTTGTTCAAATTTGATAAATTACTGTTATCGTATGTGCCGTTTTTATCGAACTGTATGGAGTACGATTCGTACATTCCTCTCTTCGATCTCTTTGAAAGTGACCAATGTCAACTACCAGCAATGACGTCCGAGACAGAAAGTTACGGACGTACTTGGTGGCGACGCACTTTTCCACCACTGCCGAACCAGGACGATATTCGATACGTAGGTCCACTAGACGTAGCCAAGGAACCAACAGCCGATATCTGCATGATGGATATCCAGTGTCATTACGAAGAGGATCTACCAACTGCTGATGTGACTCCACGCTGGTTTGAACAGTCGGAAGGAAGCGTACTTTTTTACTTTCTCCGTGAGCCAGCTACATTGGCAAGTTACTTGCGTGGTGGTCAGTATTATGACGAAATTTTGGACCAGCACGGCTCTGACTACTTCGTTCCCGTGACTGTTGACAACTCAGCCGCTCAATCACTGGAAGGCGATTGTTCAACCCTGTGTTTTCCACGATCGGTAACCCTTGACGTAGCGTACTATCAAATGAATGCTCACGTCAAGCGTATTATCATGGCAACTATTATCTACGATAATTATGACCGAGATTCTTCCAATACGGAATACACATTCAGTATCAAACTTCATCCGCTCGACTACTTTGGGCTCATTGTTCAGTTTGCCTTTGACAAACAAGTGTTCGTTGGCCTCTTCTTTGTGATTGGTAGCATGATGACAGTCGGTGCTCTCACTTTTTGGATTGTAGTTCGTATCACGTCTTATTTACAATCACCTCCACGATTTCGATTTTGGACTACCTTTGCATTGATCGCGCCGCCTCCTACAGTCGGAGTAGCTATGGCTTCGCTGCCAATTTTTGCGGTTGTATGTAGCTTCTACCTCTTGCTGCACGGTAACAAGATTTTTATGTCAAGTGGCTACTGGCTTACAGACAACATCGCCCAACACTACCTTGATACCAAGATTAACCCAGAAGTTGTGGCACAATCTCGAAAAGGACGCATTGGTGTATGTTTCTTTTTTTTTGGTCTGTATCTCATTATACTAGGTACACGTATCTTTCTTCCAAAAACTTTAGCAATCTCCGAAACGATTATAGCTGAACAAAATGATCGCAATGCTCAGGAGCGTAACATCTGGTGGCCGACTCAGTGGAAGCGAGCAAATATGATTTTTGCATCGATAATGCTAGGTCTTTTTCTCGTTCTGATGCTCGAATTTTCATTTTGGAGTTCGTTTGGAGATTACATGTTCTATGTGATTGTAGCTCAAGAAATCATCAATGCAATCATGGAAAAATGGATTGAGTCGCAGCTGAAGGAAGCGTTGTTGATGGCGCCTTTAGTTTCAGCGCTTAGTTTGATTGGAGGTATAATGACGTTTGGTGCCTCCGACTTTAAAGATTTTGTTCTAGGAAATGCGCTAGACTTCGGTATGATGATTTTAATGCGGGTATACGCAGATACTGTCATTGAAGCTATCACGAATTTCGTTAAGGATATCGCAACATACATGTGGAGTAGCGTTAAAGGAGCTAGACGTGGCGTAAGGTTGTTTTTCAGGCTTGCAATGCGATCACCTGCTTTTGTTGTTGAAAAAGTTAATGATAAGAAGGGAAACGACGACAAAAGTTTAAAAAAGGCGGAAGGCAATGGCGAGGCCGAAACAGTGGAGCCAATTATCGAGTTTTTTGCGATGGCTTCCATGGAGCGACTGGCACTCTTTTATCAACCAGTTTTAATTCTCATCATGATGTTTTTCCGTGAAGAAATCATGCTTCCCATTTTGTACAACATTCGTGAGAAAGATATGGAAATTTATCTTTGGTACTCACTCATTATTCTTCTTTTCCAGCTCGTAACGGAGGTTTTCGTATTAAATGTAGTAGAAATTTTTCAAGGATGGAAGCTTTACGACTACCTTGTTTACTGCCGCTATCGTTTCTTACAGCGTGAAAGGCGCTGGAAAGGGTTGGAACCGAATGTGGATGAATGTATCGACGAAGGCCTGCGTTCTCTTGATCAAATGTGCTTTTCATCGCAGTTTTTCATGATGTGCACGATTCATATTACTGGAATCGTCTTTTTCGTCGTGGGCATTGAAATCATGGCACGAGCGAGCTACAATTTCTTTGGCGATCCCGCCATGCCGCTCCTACTTGCTTTCATGCTCGCAGTTTCAGCTTTTGTTCGTGCGTTGATCATGTTTCTGGCCATGCGATTTGAGATCTGGAAAATTAAACACGAAAATACGGCTTGGTTAACAGCTCCTAACGAAGATGACGAGTTTGGCTTGCCACGTTTGGGTGACCTGGAAAAACTCAAAGAGGCTTCACATGAAGCGTACATGATGAATCAACGCATCACATCTGACACGTTCCGCAACAAATTTAAAGATTATAACCGCTCGTGGCTCGTAACCCAGCTGCCATCGATCCTCACCCCGCGCACCTTGCGTCGTGCGAAACCATATCTGTTAACTAATTTTGCAAAAATACTTGACAGCTTGAATCCACAAATCTCGGACGATGAAGAAGACGACGATAGTCGTCCACACTTTGGACCAGTTTCTTTATCGAGCACTTCACGCACTATGATTCGCCTCTGGCTGGCCCAAGCTAAACAAATTTTGCGTCTTAAGATGATAGTGCAGCCTTTAATCCAGCAGGCTCGCAAAACCGAGTGCGAAATGTGTCTTTCTCGCCGCCAGCTCCAGGTTGAAATGATAATTCCAATCAATGTACTAGGTGACAAGTTTAGAGGTCAAAGTCTGGCTGAAGAGTTTGATGCTGTCGCGTGGAAAGATTTTTTTGCGAAGCACCAGAAGTTTAAGACGCTGTGCCTGAACTGCATCATCCATCTCAGAACCAATGCCAAATTTAATGGTGTGCTCGGTATTGGTACCCGCGGTGGTGATAGTGACGAGCGAGATGAAAATAGGAAGGCAGCCTCAATAAATGCTGCATCTCGCGCGCTGCTGCGTAGATGGTATCTTACAGCGCAAAGCCGTGTCTTCGCGAAGGCTGGGAGGCGACGTCATCTACTCGATGTGAGCGATGACGAAAAAGATACGATGACGCATCGCTATGAATGGACTTACAAACCAGTAGCGCTAAACGCTGCTTCCACCGCTCTAGCACGAAAGTGGCTACTTTCTGCTCGTCGCAGATTTCCTGAAATTGATAGGCGTGATCATCCACCAATGAACATGACTACATTATATCCATCGCTTCAAGATGGGGTTACACCAGCTTCGAAGCCGGCGGTGAAAGTGGGAGCTGCTGGTGACGTAGCCAGCATGACTTCTAAGATGCGTCGCAAATGAGCTCAGCACTAGTAATGTACTCTGAAGATTGTTTAAAAATATACTCTAATCTCGCTTACTCTACGTTCGGCTTACGTGACCTTCTTGGCCAAGTTCTTGAAGCCAACACCTAGGCAGGAGAGCAGCACTGTCTTGGTCTCAGGGTCAGGTTTAATCTTGAAGGTGACGCCAAAAAATTCGCGCAAGAGGCGTAAACACGAAATACTGTGGGGTGTAAGCTTGCCTATGCGCACCTTGGCAACATCTTCCGGTCCGAGCGCCATAAGCAGCAGCACAATCGTTTGATTTGTTGAGTCAACGCACCCCCCTCTTTGTATCTCTTCACATAGCGCGTGTGAAGCTCGTGTAGCCACATCTTCAGGCAAATCTCCCGGCTCAGCTGCCGCTTCGGACCCTAAGAAGACACCAGTGGTCGTTTCAGCAACTAAACTCAATGCGAAACCCGGAGAGTGTCCTGATTCCACGCCTTTAAAGTGGTCTGAGTAAATGTATACGTCGGGGAGCAACTTATTGAATAGACCACGACTGCTTTCAACAATGCGATTGGACGTTTGCGGGGACACTCGCGTACTGTACGCGACACCACGAATGCGTTTGATAAAGCCTTCCTCTGTCAGGGAGATAGCCTTGAGCTGGCGTATGAGCGGACACCGGAATATTACCTGTCCACCTCCGAGGGGTTGTGCGCCACGCTTTTTCACCACGAAATCTAGTCCATCATCCAGACCAAAATGTCGCAAAAGTGGCAATGTTGTGGCCTTGAAATTATCCACTGAGTTGTCTATATGGTCGTTGGTCACGCCGTCCAGTGTTGCGTGCAGCGGCTGCTTGGCAAATGGCGCAAGGACCGCCAAAACCTCCAGAAACCAACCAATGGCGCGTCCAGTGCCACAATCATGAGTAATTTGTCCACCTAGCACGAGTCCTGGTTGGAGCTTGAGTTTTGTGCCTGTTTCGTTGATTTCTAGACGGCTGCCACTCGTTATGCGGTCTAACAGCCGCAATAGATTTGCTTCAAAAGCCGCAAGCCCTGGGTTTTCGTCCTCTGAGCGAATATTTTCAATTATTAACGGACGACCGCTGAGAATAGCACAAATTAATCGCTGACGAAAGTGTGCGCACCCCTGGAAGCGTAGCACGGTAACACGCGAAGTGGAACGAGATGCCATTTTATATGAAATGCTGATTGACTGGAGCGCGACGATTGGACTATTTTGTGTAATTGAAAAATTAAATTTATAGCTACATTATATGATTAGTAAAACGCACAAATTAGATAAAGTTTAAACTGTGTTTTTACGCAAAGTCAAGGATAACGCGACGTTCTCGCTCTGTTGCACTTGATAACGCTGATTGTCTATTCGACCAACCAGGTTTTGTAAAGACTGATCCCTTGGTTAGAGTGTACACACATGCGTGACAGTTCGTCCACGCGGCAGCTACATACGGTTTTAGACCCAAGTCTTTGGTTGTCCCGAGGAGACAACTTATCTGGCAGCCTCACGACCTACAACGGCAATTGCTCTCCAGAAAGCCTCTACCATGCATAAGAATTGTATTGTAATACGCTCTTAGGAGCATCACATTCAGAAATCTTTGAAAGCCCAAACTATTCATAACGTGACGTAAGCTTGATGGTGGTTTTGCGTTTGAACAAGATTCAGACGGGGTATCAGTCTGCAAAAAAAGTCATTACGTGCTACACTTCTGCATATACGGTGTTCCCATTAGAGAAAGCGTTGAAGCGACAGATGTCACGAATGCTCGTGCTGTTGTTAAAGATGCGCCTCGCCATGCAGACAATTGGTGCCAAAGAGATATTTCGACGAGCAGCCGCCAGCCGGTAGATACCAATATTACCTGTGTGGACAGGCTGATTGTGCAAGTTGAGGTTGTTTGATTGGTCATATGCTTTACGTTAGCAGTAGTCCTCACGCGATGCAATGAAGATAATAATACGTCTTGCGACTACGTACAGAAGATCCGTGAGCTTTGTGTCAGCTTGGTGAATAAACCACTACCAGAGGCAGTGATGGTCGCCACGTTTATAATAATGTCTTCCAAGACGGAAGTCCTCCGCTAGAGCTCGACGACTCTGGATGATGCAATTATTACATACCAGAAACTTCGACTGTTGTCAAAACGCCACATTTGGTGGGAGGAACATCGATTCCATGGCCTGCCTCAACTCTTGCCATATAGCAAAGTAGTCAGGGCGGTTGGCTTTTTATATAACCGCCCAATCTTTCGCACGGTCATCCAAGTGCGACATGGCGAAGGCCACTTGACGGCGGTAATCACGAATTTGGGCAATCGCGATGGTTATGCCCAATTCTCACTGCCAGAACGCAAGATTTTCTCTTCGTTCCCATGAAAGATTATCACCTTGATTTTCACGGGACGTTCCGTGTGTACCAACGGTGTCACCACTACTTGAGGAGAAGACGGAGTTGACTTCGATATATTTGCGATAGAAATTCCAAAAATTCCTTGCTCATACGCAGCAAATTTGCCAAGCGTTAAGTTATCGCTTCTTTATCCATTTGGAGCGTATTGGACACCGCGTGATCTCCGATTCAAGCTTGCAGTCTCAACACACACTCCCACTGCAAGTATGTTCGGAACGTCAGTACACCCTGTTGATCCAAGGACGACCACCGCCTATGGTGTCTCCATCACCCATAGGTAAATCCATCGAAGTTGTTGGCGTAGGAATGATACCAGGTGTAACAAGGATTGCCCGTCCGTGTACACACACTTTCTGAGAAAGGATTAGGTCAACTTACACAGCTCATTGCGTGTTACTCGCTTCCAGGGAGCCGTTGACTTATGTAGAAGGGGGACATGTGCAGTGATATTTACTTGTTATAGCCAATAGGATTTAATCTCCCTGGCTTCATAAGTACTTTCAGGTCTGATATCACAGAAATATACAGCTATACAGGGTAAACAGTTGATGTGAGACACGCAAATGATGTGGCCCACACAACATGTGTCATGGAACCTAACGCATTACACAAAGTGGTTGATGTAAACAGTCAATAACTTTATTCTATGGTCCCATATGTCTGATAGCCGGCATCTCACTGACCTCCAACTCCACGAGGTACGATGAACCAAATTCCCCCCCTTTAGGCATAAGACGGCCGACAGGAACTTGACATTTAAAGCGAGGAGCTCGACGATCTCCTATGCGTGGAAGCTCAAACTCGGAACTGGAAGAAGCGGAGACGTAGGGTGCAGATGCTTGGGGTATTGCCACAGATGTAAAACTTTCGAGTACCACGGTGCTATTTATAAACTAAGCAATTGCTATTCTCCTCCAAATCGGCCCTCACGTCGCAAAAGATTGCTTTTGTGCTCAATGCGTCTGTGACCACATTCTCGAAAAGGTAGGGTGAATGTCGAATATTTTGGTGGATCTGCATCATCTGTATGGGTTACCTTCTCGAAAATGGCAGTTCAGGAAAGGTGTGACGCAGTGAAACCTTCAAGCTCAAAAGAGTCTTTGATGGCCATAAATCCGGTAATGTTTCAGACGGATTATAGGCGTGCCACACGAGAAGTAAACTTAAGTGCAGTTTCTGTCGAAGAGGCATCCCCAACATGGAAAGTGTTTGAGCCAAATATATTGAAGACGTTAACACCGCCTTCCCAAGCGTACTGTGTGCAATTTAGTATCTTATCCACCCATCTAGGGAGAGGAATTCTTTGCTGTCTCAATTTAATTAGCTTTTTACATTTATTCCCGTGATGGACTTATCCCATGCCATAAGCGGCCTCACGTCGTAACTCAGTAGTGCTCCCACTTTTCTCTGATTAAGGCGTTCTTCGAAATGTTCCACCAGCGTACAATCATAGTCGTTGAGTGCTCCCAAACAAGCAACTGCCGCCTTCAGCCATCTGTGTTATCTTGAAAGCCTGCGTATATTAGGCGTGTACAGCTGACCACAGAACAGATTATCGAACAACTCGTGCTCCATCCTCACAGAGTATATAAGCTCCCCAATACCTGGTCGTCGAATTGACGCCAAGTATTTCCAAGTGCAACGAAATTTCCATAAATTTATAAAGTAAAGCTCCGACTCTTTTAGACCGCATTATTAATATTGAGCTTCAATGCTCTACGGGATGACTTTGTCACACTGAAGTGCTGACACAACAATACCAACGCTTCGTGTCAGAAAAAAATATTTCATATCGTTAAGGACTGGCACTCTACTCTCGAATTACAGTCGCCACTGGCTCTGATACGAGAGAGTGTGACAATGGGGTCCCTTCTACTCTTTACCAGCCCTGGTACAGGAGAAACCAGCTCGCAGCCGTACTTTTGAGACCTATCAGCGATACACTCTGGTGATCGCAACTTACAAATGTTTTTCTCCGACTCAATAGAGACACTCTGGAGATTGCAAAATGAATCGTCCCGTTCTGATTCATCCCTAGATCGTGACTTACTGCCGCTTATGCTTTTTGATCTTTGGTTGTGGCGCCTAGCAATACAATCGCTATAGCTTATGCACAATCTCATCGCTTGCACGGAAGCTTTGGCAGCTACGTGCCCACAAAATAAAGGTTCTGCTTCCTGGCGGAGGTGAATTCAAGGCTCGCCGAGATCCACCAGAAAATAAGTGTAGCATCAATGTTTGATCGAATTACGGCTCTTTGCTTCAATTGTAGGATAAGATCGTATTTCGACTCCAGATTAGGACGAGACATGATTCCTCACTGACAAAATTTCAAGACTTAAAGATTTAACAGAGCCTTTGACATTTTTACCAGTGTTCAATACGCACGACGCACGAATACAGTATCCAAATTTGACATCGTTATTCCCTCCGCGTACTGTGTATTGTCTTTGACAGCCGCGCAGGGTTCATAATAGCACGACGTTTTTCAATTATAACGAATTTCACGGATTCAAAAGGTGAGACAGTAAATTTAACAACCATCCTGGGCTGTAGATCTCACTTCTTTTCATTAAAATCGCTCTCTTCGAACTGTGCCTCATTGACTCTGACCCACACGAGGCCACTCTGTTGCCACTAGGACTCAACATTTACAATGCGAGACGTCAGCGAGTAGGATCAACTTGCTGTACCTCTCAGCTGAAAGTGAAGTGGGCATGTAAGGCGCAGATGTTTTTGCGGCCCGAAGATTGAGTATATGTGAACATCACGGAGCTAAGAACTTTTTCTCATCATGGATTTAGTTCATCGCCTCTAACATGCTCACAGAGCTTATATGTTCAATGCCACACCAGGCACTGGCGCCGCGGTTGATGTACTTTACATTGAATATGGCGCCTACCGCTTCGTCGAATGTGGGATGGTGAGCGTGGACGACCTCGGTGCAAGATTGACCCGCTTGGAGACCCTCCATGAATGCGGTAGATTACTGCCCTCGGAAGAGGATCTAATGGCATCGTGGCGATAAGAATTTTCGGACATATATCACTAGTTTTCACCTCCCATGACGGGAGAACAAGAAAATCGAACGCACCCGCTACGCTGATTCGGATTGCGAACACCCGGGACATCTGTCCAACGTTGGAAAGCCTCCGAGGTATTGCGCGCTAGTGGCCATTCTCGCATGCGGCGTCGTAGTTTCAGGTCGTCAGTGCGGCGCGCTGCCGCTAGGATTGGACCATGGCCAAGGTCATGACCATCTAAACTTTTATATTTCTGTGAGAGATTTTTTGCTAAGGTTCTCAAAGTCTAGATGCGCAACATAGATATCTCACATCTTTTCCCCCACCGGCTCCGGGTTGGGGCGCTCCTGGGTGTGTCTGTCCAAAGCAGTTTCAAGCTGGTAAGGCTACCAGGCAAGCAATTTTTTCGTTCCGTAGTTGGCCAGATGATGATAATCTGAAAGCTGCTGAATCCCATTTAGAAAAATGATAAACACAAACTTAATATGCTGGTCTTTCTGTCCAGGGAACATGTATTCGAACAGCATGTTCCACTCACGCAGAGCACAACATCCTGTCTTGACTCGGTCATGGAATTGACTAGAATTGATCTTAACTTAACGATTTAGCTGCTGACCTTGCACACAGGAAGATTAGTCATTTGTGTTCGCGTTAGCAATCACACAGAGACTCGATTAGTGCGCTGTTTTTTGAAACGGGGTCGAGAGTCGCTACCGTCAGTGTGTTTGAAGGTTGATTAGCGATTTTAAAAACGCACACCTTTAGACTATGCTTAGACTTAAGCCAAATACATGCGTTTTATAATCTCTTACATTAAGACTTTCGAATTGGGACTTTTTCGGAACTTCATCATCTCCATGAATAGCAAAACTAGCTTTCCCGGTCCATAAAAACTCCTTGCAACAGTACTGGCCGGGGCTTATATTAGGCTATTGATTGGACTAAATCTCCATGTTTTTAGCGTGCGAAGGTGAAGAGACATTTTTAAATAAACAGAGGACATGTCAAAATTAGTTTACTGTTCTTCGCGGAAAATGCTTAATGTGATATGACAAAATCACTTTAATGATGGTTGAAGAGATGAAAACATGAGCGAGGAAGAGTTGCAGAGGTGCGATACTGGGAGAATAACGTAAAAATTTTGCTGTTTGTTCAAGTATTGTATTACTCATAAACTAAATAATTTATATTTGTATACAGCGAACTGGAAGCACAAAAACGAGGTTGCTGACTCATTTACAAGTACTACATCGCTCATGTACAGCTGCCATTCCCAAAAGTCGACTTCAATTATCTATCCCCAAGAAATTAATATAAATGTCGTGTATCAAAACAATGCGCCGTTTCTTGACAGTCTAGTAAAGCATACATTTAAGCGTAAGTGTATGTCTGGATATGAATTTTGCTCGAGATGATTAGCTAAGATGATTCAGCCTGATATCGATGCGCGACTCTGTACTATGATGCGTAATCTTGAAAAGTGCTTTATCAATATTCCAAATCCACATGGTGTTATAAATCGACAAAGCTGTCATAGGCATGCGCATACTTGGCTTTGTATCGTTCAATATTGCACAAGCTTTCACTTTCATGACTACATCTTAAACGGCAGATGAATTTGTACACTAATTTTTGTGCTGCTGTTTGAGTTACTGATACAGATGTCATACGATGTTAGGCAACTGATCTTACAGCACTCAGAGTTAGCAAGTGCGGAGAAGAAGTGGTGGTTTGGAGTTTCCGGTGATCCATCAACCTTTTGACGGCTACAAATTTAAAAAGGGAAGCTTTGCTTCAATCACTCGCGCTACGGGCGTTTTGATATTTCAACTTGTCAAAGTGATGGCAAACTCGTTGTCATTTTAGCTACTTTACGTATTGCGACAATGAAATCGAGTCTAATGCAGCCTTCACTGCAACGGCAAAATCTATTCTATCAAACTCAACAATGCATTTGATTGCACCCTGCACATATCGCGGATTGTGCGGTATCCATTTATATCTGACAAGCAGAGGCTCCAAAACTACATGAGCGAGGTTTACCCATCCCTCGGTTTCATACTGACAAAGGCACCTCCACACCGCACAGAGAGATGCTTGTTGTGCGGGGCTCAACAGTCGATATCTTGGATTCAGTGCTGGAATAAGTAAAAGGTGGTCGATCATCCATTGCACAGGACAATTGATCACAGTATTTGCATCATGTGGTCATTCATGGATTTCTTATGAAGAAGGGTGCTCGATATTTATTTGTGCGGTACGGTTGAAAGCTGTCGAGGTGGCCAACATAAACTAATTATATTCTGGTCTGGAGCAGGCGTACTTTATTTCTACAGCCGACTACACGAGCGAGCTGCATGCACTCATGACCAAACAGTCGGCACCGGAGCACCGAAGTTGTTTTCGCTTGGAAATGTAATCGTCTGCAAGTATTGAATCCTGTCTTGGATAATCACGTATGCTGGAATATCGAATTGCATGATGTGCCTCTATAAAGTTCCGACATTTCATTATAAACATGCTGCGCATCCTTATTACTTGCAGTTGCCGCTCTATGCCACCTAGGTTATAAATGTGATCAGCTCGTTTTTTTTAATCAGAGCAAGGTCGACGGGAGGCTAACACGTTCGGATGACATATATGGATACAAGGCAAAATAATTTCGAGCGACAAGTAAATCAATCATGAACAAAGCTGGGACTTAGTAAATCGATGTGGTTGCCTTCGCCATCACAAAAGATTTGAACAATTAACAAGTTTAGATATCGACCTCCGAGTATTTATTCATGTGAGTTGAATCGTGAAGGGCATTAGTATATTTTCGGTCTCATCGAGATCGTCTTGTAGTCCAATTTTGTCCTCGTCGCCGAGGATTGATCGGACTTGGGTAGGTCGACAACATGCGTGACACACCAAGATTTGACTTTATTGCTCATTGCTCCACTTTTATTTTGGATGCTCGTTTACCCGGCAAGAACACACTCTAGGCTCAGTGGCCGTGGTCAACCTTGACAAATGTTATGATTTTACGAGAGCGAATACACAAAACTTGGGACTTGCATGAATTTTCCGACCGTATGGTCTTAGATGAAGTGCTATGTAGAGATCATCAACTTGTGTGGGTTCGAAATCTTAAATGCGCTGGATCAGCTATCAAGAATCACTGCAGGATTACCACCGACAAAGAGAGCTTTTAAAAAAGGCTTATTCTTGACTAAAATGGCCAGTCTACTGATCGACATGTCTGCTTGGAAACATAAGTGAGGATAAACTCACATCACTTCCACCACCTAGGTATCATTGAATTTACAGACATTTGCACCAAATAGGTTGGCGATGATTCGTTCGAGATACTTGACTATGCGTTCGACGTGTGGGGGGACACATTGCAATAATTGTTGCCCTAAGCGAATTCTATAGGGCAAGATCGTCCTTGTACAGCGAAGCCTTGTAAGTCAAAATTGATAGCCTTGTCGCCAGTCGCCGCTCTATTATTAGTCAAACGTCTTGAACTATATTACCGTAGTTAACAAAAAGATTAATTGAGGCATTTTCAAAAAGCGATCGAGCTAACATTAAAAATTGATCGATTCTCACAAGAAATTGTGATTATTTTGTGAGCTTTTGATGCACCATTTTCAAAATTCAAACAAGTGAAAAAAGCTTTATTCCAAGTCCAAAGATCGCTGATTGTCGATGAGTGATTGATATACACCGTTTTCCTCGTGTTTCGCCAAGAATTCAGCCAATTTTGAAACGTCATGAAGTTGATCGAGTAGCAAGAGCATGTCACTTCTTGGTCCATGTTTCCTAAAGACTTGTGAAAGTAGAAAAATATGGCTTCGATTTCTGCTCCCACGTCCTTGTACGATTCAAAGCAATGGTCTACCTTTCTGTTGTTGTAAAGGATTTCAAGAGCTTTTTCATCAATGTACGGTGAAGTTGCCG